CTGTGGCAGGCAAAAGCATGGCCTGTTCAAGAAGTTAAAGCCCCGTGTGGCTGAAACAGGAAAAGACAAAGGGAGGCTGATGACAGGATGAGGCCAGAGACCCAGAGAGAAACCAGACTAAGCAGGGCCTCATAGAGCACATTAAAAATGTGGGTGTTTATCCTAAAAGCAGCGGGGAGTGATTGGATCTGCATTTAAAAGGATCACTTTGGCTGCAGTGTGGTAGATAGCTTATAGGGGAGCCAAGGAAAATATGCAAGAGCAGCTAGGAAACTACTGGAATAGTCAAGACAAGAGATGTTCATCGATTATTTTGAGATTACAGCAGCAGATGGAACAGCAATATACACAATAAGGAAATATCTAGAAGGTAAAATAAAGAGGATATGTTGATGAGCTAGATGTAAAGGGGAGGGAAGTAGGAGGAGTCATGAAGGCCCTTGGATCTGGCGTATGGATGGAGGTGTCATTCATGCAGCCAGAGAGCACTGAAGGAGCACTACTTCCTCACAAACCATCCAGGCTTTTTAAATTTTATTGTAAATAAGAATTTATAAAAAGTATTGAATTGAATGAACTCTTGATACAGTATGACACAGACCAGAAAAAGCAAAATTCTGTTAATTGTGGTAGTTTTGTAGCATTACATGTATTTCATTTTATCTACCCTATCTACTACTCAAATCATAATACATTTAATACAGTTTTCCTAATTTCAATATGTTGTATTGCAGTAATTTTATTTAACTATCCTAGCCTAGCAACTTCGTAAACTTAAATTTGCATTAAATGCACTAATCGATGGAAAGAAGGGAGCGATCAAACTAATCAATTATAACCATGTGGGTCTTTATCTCAACTACTGTACCTACAGTGGAGTACTGATGGCAGCTCCTACCAGACCTCAAGAGCCAATTGTTAAATTTTCAGGAAATTTGCAAGCTAGGTGTAAGTAGCTTGAAATTGACCACAGCGGGAGGACCAGCTACAGAAACTGGAAAAAGCTAAGGAACTGGCAAACAATTCCAGTCAGAGATCCACCCAACTCCCACCCCTGGCAAAGCCTACTGCTAAATATTTAGCAGTGCACCAATGTTTGTACCTTTTAGGATAATGTATTTGTGGTGGATATTCTGGGTATAGAAAATACTGTAATGAAACTAACTATAATCTCACTGATTTAAAAATGCTGCCTATTTTCTTTTCCATGTTCTTAAATATCTTTCCTTTAGGATTGTTTGAAACCTATCTAATTCTTTGCTGGATATTTTGGATGTTTCCACAGGACTTCATTTGTGAAGATATGCCACTTTTAAGCATTCTTCTAATGATTTTTACTTTTTCCTCTCCTTTAGATTGTCCAGATTAAGAAGTGCTGCTGTAAAGTGGCAAACTTTTAGTAATTGTTGAATCTGATTATAGGTGTACAGGGGACCATTGTACTGTTTTTCTCTAATTTCGTGTTTGCTTGAAATTTTTCATATTAAAAAACAAAACAGATGTGTAGTACCCACATGTTGCCAAGACCTGTCCTTACTGGGTCTTCTACTTACAGTCTCAATCCCAGCAGGTATTCTCAGGATTTGAGATGATGTGATCCATTGCGGCCTGCTCGCTTGGCCTCTAGGAGTTAGCTAATTCCTTGTTTTGATTATTTTGATTTCCTTGCAACACCGACTTCTTCCCTGAAAAACCCACAAGCAGTCTGTAGAAAAATTTAAAGCGAATCTAAAGAAGGAACCATATCAGATTAGGGTACTTTCTTTGTACTACAACCACAAACATGTTGAAAAAAAAAGTTTAAAAATCTTCAGTAACAACAGAAAACCCCAAAGTACAATGAGTACATAGATTAAAAGAAACTGGAAAAAGTAAAAAAGAAAACAAAAAAATTTAATAAAAAGTAGAAAAAGGAGGCTAGAAATTATTATCAACAATATAAGACACTGGTGGAACAGAGAGAAGTGAGGCACCAGAAGAATTATAAACTAAATCAAGTAGTCTTCAAGTTCTGTCCTAAAGAGAAGAAGGGCTTGATCTCAGGCAAGAACAAGATTTTTTTTCTTTTATAATGTAGAATATCATCATGGAACACATAAAAGTATGAGAAGCTGAGAAACATAAAATTCACCCAATCACAGCACATCAGTGAGAAATAAACTAGTTTAGAAATGAAACACGGGGCATCTGGGTGGCTCAGTGGGTTGAGCCTCTGCCTTCGGCTCAGGTCATGATCTCAGGGTCCTGGGATCTAGCTCCATGTGGGGCTCTCTGCTCAGCAGGGAGCCTGTTTCCCCCACCTCCCGCCTGCCTCTCTGCCTGCTTGTGATCTCTCTCTCTCTTTCTCTCTGTCAAATAAATAAATTATATCTTAAAAAAAAAAAAGAAATGAAACACAAAAATTAAGGAAAGGTTAACAAGTAAATTATAATTCAAGAGAAAATTATCATTATCAAAAGGAATCGTGTAAATCCATTTTGTGGATTAGAAAACTGAAGCTCGTGAAAGTGATTTGGTCAAGGTCACTCAATTTAAGTGTTGGAGCCTGGATTTCAAATCCCTCTACAGCATTTTGTTTTTTCCACTCTCTTTTTGATAAAAATGCAAGTCCAAAACTAATTTTAAAATTATATGTAAATATAATTCTGGCTTAAAAATAATAATTCAGAAATATTTCTAGCTTAAACTTAAAATATAGACTTAACAATGATGCCCCAGTAAGTTTAATTTTCCTACTACTTCATCAATGATATTCTGTGTTCTACATAAACTGCTGTTATATGGGGAAAGATCACCTTAATGTCCTAAAGAACATCATTTGATCTGCTATTGTAAATAAAAATTAGATTTCACTCTCTCTTCCCTTAAATATATGCTTTAAATTGTATATATATAGAGAGAGATGAGATAATAAGGCATTTTTTAAATAAAAATATTTTTACTTATATATAGAGGGCTGAAATGATCAAGCTTTGGTTTCTACTAAAGGAATCTAAGGTTTGATTCATATATTTGAAGAGTGTCTCAAAACTTGCTCAAATTCATTGGCTCTTTTTCGCAGGTGACTTTTGTCTTCTAAGTTTACTTTCCTCTGGTTAGACAGCACACTTAATCTTATCTAATACTTGCTTTTTATTATGTCAAACCCTTTACCTAAAGATTTTTTTGTTCTATGAATAATTCTCCATCTTGTACCTACAGTGAGCTAGTAGGTATTCAGTATATAATTACTGATTTGAATCATGACTCCTAAATGGAATTAGGTTTAATAAGTTATGATCAGATAACTATGTCACCTGTGTGACATAGTTTTTCTTTTGTGGCTGTATTAGGGTCTAGTGAGGAGAAATTATATCAATGATTTTAACAAATATGATTTAATTTAAAGAATTGTTAATTAGGCATTGAAGAGTGGAAAAGGCAGAAAGAGAACACTAAGGAAGTGATTTCTCCAATAATGGTCACCAGACAGGCATCATAAGCTTCAACTGGGAACTTGTTAGAAATGCAAATTCTGACACCAAGCCCTAGCCCCAGTTTATGAATTAGAAACCTTGGTGATAGGCCCAACAGTCTGTGCTGTAACAAACCCTCCAGGGGATTACAGAGTATGCTAAAATTTAAAACTCATGTAGGTAACAATACCTGGAAGCAGCCCCTACTCCTAGGCCTGGCCTGGGGCAGCCAAGAAAAGGGGTAGAATTACTAAAACTGAGAAGATTGGGGAAAGGCCCTGTGGAGCTGAAACTCAGACTTTCAAGAACCCATCATTGCTCTCCCAGTACTGATGTCTCTTCACTCAGAGGGGGGATCCCATAGAACTAAGAACAAGATAGCTGAGGAATAGGCACCCACAGGTTGGATCTGGTCTCAGGAAGGCACATTGAGATTGGTTCTGCAAGTGTTGGGAAATCCCCAAGTTGAAACCAGTGGCTGCTACTAGAAGAAATTACTATCAGATTGAAGAAGTGTTGCTAGAGCAAAACCGACAGCACCAACAAACCCTTCAGAAGCAAATGAGAGCAAATTGCTTTCCTTCTCCAGCTGTGCAATGTTTCATTAGTCCCTATATTGGCAGAGACTAACAAGCCAAAAATGTTTCTAGAATTCCAAGGTCTGATTTAAAGCTGAGAGACAGTAGTAGCTCAATAACTGGCATAAAGGCCTTACTTGTAATAAGACTGGGAGGTAATAGAAAGAGTAAACTTTTTTTGGAAATATTTTTTGGTATGTATATTGGGTACGCATGGACATTTTCTTAGGAGCTGACTTCTAGGTGGACTTTTGGACTTACTGTACAAAATTATTCCTATTTGAAAACTATCTGTCTCTTCTGATGAGATTAACAAGACACACTTAGGACATTTCTGGAATCTGGACAAGAAACTATGCAAGGGCCTACACTGAGGTCTCCTTAGCCAGGGCTAAAATTGAAAGATCACAGCAGTGATGGCTGAGAAATGCTCAATAGTAGCAACAAGACCTGACAAGTCAGCTCAGGCTAGGTTCATTGAAGTCTCAGTGTCAAGGGAATGGACTAAAAAGCTTACTTTCACAAGACAGAGCAATCAGGGTTCCTGCTTCAAAACAGGAGGTTGATAGAAAAGTTTTTTGAAATCATGGTAAAGGGGAAGGGTGATACAAACATGACTCCTCATTTTAAGCAGCTGTTTTTTATAATCCCAGGAAACTAGAAAATGAATGGAAATGAATCAGCTCCTTCCTTAATCTTATAAATCAGTATTGAGGGTCCATTGTTGGTTCTACAGAAATCAATACATCAGGGCTTTCCAAATTCTTGAAAGGTGGGCACAGATAGAGTCATTCTGTATGTTAATCAAAAGGAACAATCCCAAATATTTACTGAATGATTATCAGAATTACACCAAGTATTTTGGGAGAACAGTGAGATATTCATTTTTCTTACAGACTTTCACCTATTTCTCATTTTATGTTTATGTTTTATTTTCTGGTTTTTTGTTTTTCTTTTTGTTTTCAAGGATATTGAAGAATCACAAAGTCACACTGGCGAACCTGTTGGAGATGACTACAAAAAGATGGGAACACTTTTTGGTGAATTGAACAAAAGCCTCATCGAGATGGGCTTCACAAGGATGTATTTTGGAGAACGAATTGTGGAACCAGTAATAGTCATGTTCTTTTGGATAATGCTGTGGTTCCTTGGCTTACAAGCCCTTGGACTAGTTGCTGTTGTTTGCCTTGTCATTATTTATGTGCAACAGTAAAATATGGCCAAATAAGCTGTTGTTTCACATTTGGTAGCCGTATATGTATTGGTGAAGTTATATATTTCACTACATGAAAGCTGAAAAGTTTGCCTTGTTTCAAATTATGTGCTGTTTTGTAATTAAATTTATAAGTGGAAGTTGTTTAAAACTAAACTCAACTCTTGATTATCACAGGGTTGAATATACATTTGGTAGCTTATTCAAAAGTCTTGTTTTATTACTGTGATCTGTGCCCACTTTTAAAAACCCCACCTTATTCCCATTGTCAATCTTAACACACCAAAAAGTGAGCAGGGAAAATAACAGGATATGGAATTCAAACCAGGCAATACAGATCTTGTAAAGAATTCCAGTAAAACATTTTAGAAGAAAAAGGATGGAACAAGGAGCTAAAACAAAGTTTTAATGGGAGAATTGTCCCCACCCATACCCACCAAATAACCCCTTACTATTTGGGAAATAATTTGGATATCTCTGTTCCTGCTCAGCCCAAACCAATATAAACGTAATTACTATACACTACCTTAATATTGTGATGAAAATCAGTAAAGCTAGGACATTTTCTAAAGATTGAAAAGGATTTATTTATTATGACTGATTAAAGTTAAATGTATCTTTTTTATCGTGTAACATTTGGGTCTGGAATCACTTCAGTATATCATTTGAAATTTTAGACAATTTTGGTGCTAATTACCTTTTGTGAATTTTTTAAGACTCTTAAGCCATGTCCATAGCTGGCTGCACCCCATGGTAATGTTATGTTTTCTTGTATCTAACAAGTTGTGTATTTTTTTCCTAGAGAGACATTTTCCATGTATTTTTTTCCAGAAATTTACATTTTATAGTTCTTTTATAACAATTATTCTAAGATTTTAAAAAATCTATTTCCTATCTTAGCATGGAATTTCCCCCCCCAAAAAATTGATTTGTAGTATGGCTAAAATATTTTACTATGTCTTTAAGGAAAAAAAAAATCAGCTTGGTCTCTTTGATATCTGTATTGGAAATACAGTATTACAGTATAAAACCAAATGCTTAAATTTGAAATTTAACAGCCAATTTTAATAATATTCCTCTAAGGCTAAAGCCACATCAGTAACTGGCTGGTCATGTTATTAATGTGTTTTAATTCAGCACTTTGGGGTTTTATATTTGAACAAACATTTCTTTAAATACACTTTAAAAACAGAAAATGGCTTAGTGATATTTTGGATTTTGTTAAAGAACCTAAAATTTGTACACTTGCATCTCAGAGACCCTCTATACAGACAAAGGTTGGGCACTAAAGATAATTATCTAGAAATTCAAGTTAAATAAGAGGGAAATGGGACAATGGGGTATTTTTATATTTGGCAGGGCAGTAACTAAAGTGTATAAAGTGTTTAATATTCTGCTTTGTAAAGTTTTTACCCAATCCTATTTAAAAAAATTATTCTATAAGTTATCAATGTCTTCCATGCTAAAGCAGAAAACTGATGAAAAGTGTTCAACTTTGATTTCTAAAATCAGATAATCCTGAACAAAAATACCGATCAGAGGGCACTAAAGTGTACTGTGGATTTATATAAATACAGACCTTTTAAAGTTTGACAAAGAAAAGACTTTGTATTATATCATTGTGTTTTTATTGGGTTTGAAATATTTTTATAGAAACCTTTATGAATTTGGCATAAGGGCAAGTTATTTGAAAATGTGTCTTCATTTGTGCACAGCAGAATTGTGAGGTTTTTAATAGAAGTCATGAGATTTTTGTATGTCTACATTAAATATTAAAAAGGGCATTCTTTTCTAACGCTACCAAGAAATTTAAATTTCCTTTGGAATATAAAAAAGATATAGTATGCACAATAATAGCTCTAATTCCACCAGTGCTAATATTGAAAAAAATTTGTAAAGTAAGTTTGAATAGTAATTATTTAAAATATACGTCAATACTATGTATCTGCACACTGCTGTTAGTATATTAATATACATATATTAAATCACATAAAGAGATATTTTGCTGCTATTCTTACTGAATTTTTTTTATTGATTAGAGCAACATACCATCAAATTGTTTGCTTTGATGGAAACAATCTTTGCTTCTTTGATGGAAATAATATATTTTCTTTTGTGAAATGGATTAGACTGTAGATTATACTTGTACCCTGAAATGAAAAGAAACTGGTCATTTCTTTTGTTCATGGTGTAAGGAGTTAAATGGAAAATGGTTCTCAATCATTTCAATCTCAGATACAAGCCAATTTTAGACACCGTTAGTGATTATGGATAAAGACATGGAGGTTACAATACTAAGGTTATTAGATTATTAATATATACATCATTTATACCACAGCTCTCAATTCAAATGGAAAAGGTTAAAATATACAAATAAACTGGCCAGAGATGAATAAGTCAATTTTCCTTAAAGTGGAAACTCAGTGTCTTGTAGAATTCAGTCCTCTCATATCTTAAGCTGTGATATGCAAGGTATTTTCCCATTCCGGGCCACCAGTCACATCATACTTGGTCCAGTATTGTGCCATCACCAGCTTTCACTGACCTGCAAAAACCAATTGTATACCTTTTCCCACCTAGCCCACCTTCAGTGGCATCAGTTGGTAGCCTGAAATTGTCTATGAGGGGAGTAGTCAGACTATCAACATTGGCAAACACAGCAAATCAGGGCTCTGTTTGCCTGGCAAGCCAGTTGTTAAAACAGTAGCAGCATGCCACGTATTAGCCACCCTACAGGTCACAGCCCCATTTCGACTTCTGTGGATCGAAAAGGAAGCATATTGAAGCAAATCCCCATCAACCCATCCAAAACTGTATTTGGATCTTTTCCATGTGGGAATGATGAATTATGGTTGTCTTCTGACCAACACGTCCCTACATAATCTCATGTTTTGATCAGACAAAATCTCCCTGGGCTGTCACTGAGCTGCATATCCATTGATCCAGATGATCAGGAAATAAACAGTTAGAGAACTGATGGAAGATAAATTCCAGCCTAAGTAAAGACTTGTAAAGTAAGAAGGCTCAGATGGTCAAACCTCGATATTGAGCAATTAAGGGCTGTTTGTATGGTTTGTAGATTATACTTAACAGTTATTTTACAAATGTTTACTGACTTCAGGTTATTTTAAATATTTTTCTTGTCAATATATGGCTTCAACAGGTCAAAGAAGAGAAAACAATAAGACTTTCATACCTGTTAATGCTTCTAGTAATAGACTTGACCAAGGATGATGTAAAAAGAACACAACCTACTCTCTCCCTACCCTACACATTGCCTCAGACAATGTGTCCACTCCACGTTTCAGTTACCATTTCATACTAACAACTCTGCAGTCCGTATCTCCAGTTCAGAGCACCGTACAGAATATAAAATCCATACATTCAGTTGCTTGTCCAACATAAGTACTTGCTTATGCCTTAGTACCTCAGGTTCGGTATATCCAAATCAAAAGGAACTCAGCATCCTTCTCCCAAACTGTTTTTTATTTTTCCTATGTTTCCAGTCTCAGCAAATGACAGTTGTCTCCTACACTGCCCACTTATAACCAATCACCGTGTCCTATCTTCCTAAAAAATCTTTAATGTTTATACTTCTCTTGATTCCCAGTATCACTAACTTAGTTCATACCCTATCATCTCCCTAGATAGCTATCACGGAATCCTACTTGGTCTCCCCTGCCTTCATTCTTCCCTCTACAATCAGAATAATCTTCCTAAATCATAACTCTGATCTCCTGAGCCTAAATCTTTTCAGTGGCTTCCTGTTGCCATTATGAAAAAGTGCTTGCTCCTTACTATGTTTTACAAGGCTCCTCAAGAGCTGGTTCTTGTGTACTTAATCTCTCTGCACTATGCCTGTCCCTTTTCAACACTCAGCTTTACCGAATTTGTTTTTTCAGTTCCTTGTGAGAGACATGCCTACTCACTTCCAGAACTCTGCACATGCTTTAGCTTCTCTCTTTAGGCCCTCCCCACCAAACTAACCAACACATCCGCAGCTTTAAGATCTTTAGACATAAGGTCCCCCAGGAAAATTTCTCTGTTAAGTCCACTTCTGCTATTTCATGTGCTTTCAGAGAACCCTGCACTTAACCCTATCAGTACTTGTCATGCTATATTGTAATAGCTTATTTGTCAGCTCCTTCCTTTTCTTAAAAAAGATTTATTCATTTATTTGAGAGAGAGCACGCATATGCACATGCACCCACTCAAGTGGGGAGGGGCAAAGGGAGAGGGAAAGAAAGAACCCCAAGCATCCCCCATGCTGAGCACAAGGCAGAGGCAGGGCTAGATCCTTCCAACCCAGGATCACTATGTTAGCTGAAACCACGGGTCTACAACCCAACCTACCAAAGCCATGCAGGCAGCCCTGACACCTTCTTCCTTTAGACAATAAACTTCACAGGCAGAGAGCATGTCTATCTGGTTCACAAATCGCATTGTCTAACACAGTGCCTGGCACATAATAAATGCTCAAAATATTTGGCAAATTAATAAATCAACTTCATTTACTCATGTACTCCCTATAATGCATTAACAAAGATTTAGCACTGGTTGTATTTTAGGGTTCTTTCACTCCAAAAGTATGCTTATAATGCATAAAGAAAGTGAATTAATGTGTATGTTATATTTATAAAGTTTATTCACTTTTGATGGAAGAATATCGCTACTATTTGCATATGCAGGATTACTATCTTCTACTTGCATATTTTTAGAAGATTGTATGTATTTTCAGTGTTGTACTTGATGAAATCACTGTTTCTCCAGAAAGAATATTTTAGAATACATGTGGTCATTGATGCTACCTAAATTTCATATTTTTCCAGTATTTTTCAATAGACTTTTATCTACTAAATTTTGATTTTTTAAAAAAAACTCAGAAGTTGCGATCAGGAATTCTCGAGTATCTAAGCTTGGGTATTTCAGGCTACAGAATAAATCCACTACTAGAATGTTCAAGTCACCCGGATCGTATATGTTAAATAACATGTATATAAAGTACTTTGTTATTTTTTCCAATAAATAATACTCTTTCACAATCCTGCATCTTTAGTTTCTCTTCTGACTCTCTATATCATGTACCATATATCACTTAATTGCTGCCAGACCAAGTTTAGAAATTGCCAAAGCAACAACATACCTGAAAGTGAACCATCCCTAATGCTGCAGCAGAAAGCTAAGTCCTGATGTGTATATGGCTTCCCAGGTGATAGAGTAGTAGGAAAACCTAACTCAAAATCAACCTCTGCATCCACTGTATTTCTCCTTTGTTGTCTTGACTATTGTGTAAGTTAGAATTATTGAATGAGCTCTGCAAGGACCTGCTAAGATCCAGAACTTAATCATACACATGCTTATTAAATTTGAGTTATCTTTTCAGCAGTTAACATTTTATCATTTATCCTTCCAACAACTTAATTAGTTGGAAATTTCTTTGATAACTTTCCAGTCCACCACAGAATACAATGAATTTAATCATAAGGCCCTGCCTCTTTTAAATTGGTTTACTCCTTTATTATAAGAAGCTAGTTGATGGTATATTTTTTAATGTGAGTTTTTTTAACAGAAGAATGAAAATTCTGTATACAATATCCTTATTTATACCATAGCTGTTTTAAGACAAAATCTTAAGTGTTATTCCTTGAGGGGAAGGGATGGGATATGTAAAAAATCCTATCAATATTTGAGTATATATGCCATTTACTGAATGCCCTTCTCTGGTCTGCTAAAATTGCTTCTGTTGTATAGTTTCTTGATTTTATATATGTAATATCAAAAATATCTATGATTCCATTATTTGGTGTATTTTCAGCTTTAATAGGCACAGGAGTATATATGTAAATGCAACATACAAATA